TGAAATATACTTGTTTTGGTACAATTTCAGAAACTGAATTATTAGAAAATTTATTTGCAGCAATTAACACATTGATTTGCATAACGTTCCTTGTTGTATATGTGGTTGCACTGGCTGCAATATTTAGTAGTAAAATAGTTTGTTTTTTCAAATGGTAGCTATCACAAATTGTTATTTCATTTTCAGACGTTGGATTCTCTCTGGAAACAACAGGATTTTTCTGTAAAATATTTTCTATAAAGAGGTGCAATTGTGTCTGTAAGGTGTGTAATTCTAGCAACTTCTTCATCCATGATTTGGCTAGCTCTTCAATTAGATGGATAAAGAAATCATATCTCTTCATTTCCTTCATGTGTCAAACAGGTGACTGAATAAAATGAATAATATTTCTGCTTGGAATACAACAAGATAATTGACTAGCTGGTTGCATAGAGTAGCAATAATTATTTTATCACTAATAATTATTTTTGGACTAATAAGTATACAGTCGATCCCCCCTATAATACAGTAGATATATTCCCTTCTTTATGAAATTCATTTTTTACGAGTCCTTAAATACATGAGCCAATCACAGCCTGGCATGTATGCAGTTTATGGACTACGGCTGTTTGAAAGGTTTTCTTCCATAAAATTAATCGATTCTAGACTAATTTGACTCAACATTTCCAAAACACGTATAATTTTTTAATAATAATCCATATAAACTATGCTATAAACAAAAGTTGTAGGATTACTTACCAAGTGTACACCATTCGACGACGCCATTGCTTAAGCTTGTTTTCGTCGTGGAGTGGTGCATTGAACAGGGACGCGTGTTTCCTGATAAATTATTTTTTGCAGAAAAATTTGCTGAACTTTGGAGACATCATCAATATAAATAAAATTTTTATGGCTGTTAAATAATAAATGATTTTTAGTAGGTCCATTGCTCGTTTAAACTCAACAGTTTGTGCAATATCCACTATTGGTCTAGATTCGACCAATTCTATCACGACATGAGTCAGCAATGACGTTTTACCGAATTATAGGAGTTTTTTAGCATGTTTATATGAATACAGTTGCAATTTTTTCACCATTATATATGAATCTGAATTATATGAACCCGTTTTATAGGGGGGTCTACTGTATATGCATTTTTTGAAGCAGACAGAGGATAAAACTAAAGAATAAAAAAAGAATCTGCAGGAATCATACCATATAAGGACAAAATTCACATATATACGAAATATAAACATGAATTGTTTAAATTTTTTTTTTTTTTTTTGAGAACAAGAATCAGATGAAATCAAGAAGACTGGCTCATCTTGAAAAATCAAATTTTTAAAACTCAAAATGCAGTTGACTTAGCACAAACGAGTATTTTTATATAGAATCATATGAATTACATTTGAAAATTTAACTACTAGAGCATCATTTATAAATCATAACAAAAACTTACAATGACTTTCTCATTATAATTATAGGTAAACTTATTGAATATTAAAAATAACTTTATATAATATTTTTTCAATTAAAATATAATTTTGTTTATGTTTTAAACTGTTTTGCCAATACATAAATATTTTTGCCAGCCATCAGCCTTGATTTAAAAATTGTTGGTCAAACTGGTCCAATGCTGGCTAGTGACAACAAGGGCAGAGCAATGTATAAAAACTTGAGTAGTAGGGAGTTAAGACTGGAAAGTGTTCTGTTAACACATGATGGAGATTATATGTTGATTAGTTGATGGGACTACTACAGACACATATACTATTCTTAAGTACAGTTGTCCCTCTATAGTCCAACGTTTTTTAATCCGACATGCTCAGTAGTCCGACGCACCTCCCATCAAGGTACCCGTCCCCATTACGTGTCTGCTTGCACAGAAGCATGTCACGATGTGAATCTTCCCATCCAATTCTTACTCGATGACACACATTTCGTGTGTTTTATGTGAGCAGTTCTGTTCGAACAGTTGGAGTAGAGAATATTGTAAGTTACTGCTAGCAAAACAATGCGAAATATGTAATTATTTTCGGTAATCCGGACACTTTTGGTAATCTGACACACCTTTGGTCCCATACCTGTCGGATTATCAAGGGACAACTGTAGTATATTCTCTTGACAAGAAGAAATAAAATTTGTTTAACATTGCCACAGCTTATAATTCATGATCATCCCAATGTGCAGAGGTCCAACTGTGTTTATATACTTCTGGATACATTTTTTGCTTAGAAGTATGTTCAATTTTAAAAATTATGAGATTATAGTTATCTATGTAATAGTTAAAATTATTGAAAATATTTTAAAAATCAACAGTTTTACTTAGGCTTATACAGGTAGCCCTCGGTTTATGCCACAGTTCCATTCCTACAAAAGCTGGCATAAAATGAACCCATATTTACAGTGAGGTATAGGGTTAGGTTCTACATAAGTGAAAAATAAGCAAATAATTTTGTTTATCAATACAATATGATACAAAATACATATAAATTTAATTTTTAAAATGTATTTTATCATAAAATAAAGTGAAATGTTTTTATTAAAAAATTTTAGTTTTGGATCTCTTACATTTTTCAGAAAAAAGTATCCATCTTTAATTAAGACTAACAGCACAAAACCTTTCTCACTAATTTCTAGCCTTATTAACTGGCCTTATTCTAGCCTTATTAACCTTATTAGTGAGAAAGGTTTTGTGCTGTTAGTCTTAGAAATAGTTCTAGCTACATATGCATAGTAGTCCATCTTTAATTGTTTACATTTTTGTTTTCTTTCATTAAGAATTTTGGAATATGGTTGAATGGATGCGATGATGCTCCTTTTTACATTTGCACTTCGCTCCCAATCATTGTCTAACTCACAAAGTTCATCCATCAAATTTTCGATAGTTGAAAGGATACATTTTAGATCGACCATTTTCATAACTCTTGGAGTTTCTTCTTCGTTTTCTTCCTTCTCTGACTATTCACAATCAAATTCTCTGTATAATTCTTCTAAGTCTTCATTTGAGAGTGGCTGATCATGAACTTCTAAAAGTTCTGTCACATTTTCATCTGTAACATCTTCCAATCCCATATCACACACAAGTTTATTAATGTCTTCAATTAAATTCTCCCGATGTGCTACTTCTTCAAAATTGTGCACGAATGCTGGTAGAAGTTTACGCCAAACTCCATTTAAGCATTTTGCTGAAACTTCATCCCAAGCTGACTTGATGTTTTTAATGCCTTTCAAAATATCAAAAGACCGCCAATAGTCTTTAACTGTTTTGTCTGAAGTGTCTAAAACTCTCATTATTTCCATGAATGTGTTACAGAGATAATATGCTTTGTAGGTTGCAATAACTCCCTGATCCATTGGTTGCAAAAGAGACGTTGTATTGGGAAGCATGTAAACAACTTTGACACACAATGGTGTTCTTATTTCATCAAGGTTTTGAGGATGTCCTGGAGCATTGTCCAAGAGAAGAAGTGCCTGGAGTGGTAATTTATTTTCTTCACAAAAGTGAAGCACAGTAGGGCAAAAATAATTTATGTACCAATCTGTGAAAACATCTTGTGTGACCCGAGCTTTCTTGTTCCATTTTCAATAAACTGGCAACATATCTTTATTTAGACCCTTTAAAGCAGGTGGTGTCTGTGAATGATACACTAACATTGGTTTAAGTTTCAAAGTTCCTGAAACATATATGAACTCTTTTGTTGGGAGCCAATCTTTCGCAACTTTAAAACCTGAAGCGGAACGTTCTTCACGAGAAATAAAAGTTTGTGCTGGTAACTTTTTCCAATAAAGCCCAGTCTCATCAACATTGAAGATTAGGTCTGGAGAATAGTTGCCTTGTTCCACATAATCCTGAAATTCCTTAGGAAAAACAGTTGCCGTTGCAACATCAGCACTTGCTGCTTCACCACATAATTTTACGCTATGACAGTTACTTCAGGATTTAAATCTCATAAACCAACCCTTGTTTCCCAGAAAAGTTTCTTTGCCTCCATCTGTCTTCTTAATATTATCAAAAATTAATTTTGCTTTTTCAGTTATAGCAGCTTGAGTCAAGGGAATGTTTTTTTGATTTGCATCATCCACCCATAATGATAACAATTTTTCCATTTTTTCAAAAATTTTACCTCTACTGTAACTTACATGTTTTACATTTACTGCCATAGACTGTTGAGCAGAGTGCTTAATTTTATCTGCATTTTTCATAATGGTAGTAACAGTCAATGGAGGTAAGTTCAAAGATCTACAGACATTAGGGCGTGTTTGTCCATTTTCCATTCGTCGAATAACTTCCATTTTTGTTTCTAAGGAGATTGATTGCTGTGCTTTCTTAACATGTTTAGTTAACTCTGGTGCACTTTTTTTTATCTGACATAATAACATTCCTTTATTCTTGTATACATGGAGTCAAGTTGAAAATTAATTGATGTCCATCAAATGGTGTCCTAACCCAGTACTGTAGCTCTATGTCCGGTCCACAGCTCATTCAAATCTAATGGTTTGTGGAACGTTCTCTATTGGTCTAGACCAATCCCAATGAGCCACGATTCTGCCACAACACATGGTGTTGTAGTGGACTCGTGTCTCACTAGGATTGGTCAAATCTGAACAAAATCTAGTCAAATCTTGCATAGGGAAAATCAGGGAATTATACAGCAAAACAGTGTTATTGTGAATCAGTGTAAATTGAACCAGTGTAAACCGAGGGCTACCTGTATTAATATCTACATTATCAATACTGTTTAAATGTAAGATCATATATTTACAATGATTTAACAGTTAATGTTGGAAAGTAGAGAAAGGTGTGAATTTTCTTTATTATATAAAAAATCTGTAAACTGGAACTATTGTAAGTGTAATGATTTAAATAATTAAAAAATAAGTTAAAGTGAGTATAATAAGTAATTTTTGAAGTTTATAAACATTTAAATAATTATTGATATTATGATTAAATATTAATTTATTGATATAATTTATTATTAAAATTTTGTATTATTATGTAAAACTTTTTCTGTTTTCAGTTGCTGACTCGATGTATTCAACATTTTAATCATGATATTCCAAATTCACTTCTTCATAAGATGACAAAGCTAAGTGATGTTTTAGAGTATTTCCTTACACCAGTAGAAGGAATATTGCCATATGATGTCTTGGTTCGAGACAGTAATAAACTACCTCAGAATCTCTGTGTCATCCCAAATCCATTGCGTTTTCATCCTGAGACAGATACTCTGTTTGGAGGAATCACTGCTTTTCCCAAAAGTGCTACTATTGTTAGTGGTCTTAAATCAAAAAAGAAGTACAGAGGATATAATCCAAATCCACCTATACCAAAAATAATATAAAAATGTGAAAAAATTTCAAATTGATATATTTTTTCCATAATTTATAGAATGCAATCTTGTTACTAATTTTATTGCTTTATCTTTCATGTTTGTTTATTAATTAAAATAGTATTAAATAGTAATTTTAAATAATTTAAAATATTTTTGAACTCATTGTAAATTACAAAACTAAATTAAGTAATTATTTAATACAAAAAAATTGTAAAATATAAATAGATTTCTCTGAAATTTCATTAAAAATTTTTCTGAAAGAACAGTATTACTGATTATAAAATATTTCTGTAATGATGTAAGAAAAGCATTATTAATAAAAAAATTATTATTTCAATAAAAATATTTTGTTATATGAAATAATTTGTTATTTTAAATAATTATGTTAAACACAGCATCAGCATTTTGCAAAATTATCTGATATTATTGACAAATCTGATTGAATGGATTATGAAGAATTCCAAAGTAGAGTTTGAAAATGAAGAAATTATATTTTCATAGAAGAAAATTTAAAGTATTATAATATAAGTACTTTCAAGTACTATTCAGTTATCTTCAGGACATGAAATCCTAAAATTAAAACAAAAACTGCAAAGTTAAAGCAGAATATCATCACAATGTTGGGGTGCAATTTTTAATCATATTTTTTAAATTAATTTAATTTAAAATATATCCTCTCCACTGCAAATTAGCCCTGTACTATACTATACTTTCCTGTTAGCAATAGAGTCATGCCAGTTGTCTATTAACTCCTTTCAGTTGAAAAGATTTGAATTGAAATAATGTGACTTCCAGTTTGCATCTGAAGTTTGTGTATGGTTAATTGGGGCCTCCCACCCCTAAGCTTTTTGTATCTGGTCTTGATGTTCGTCTATCTAACTCTGTTCTCTAGAATAAGGAAAGACTGATGGGCAACAGTGAGAATTTTTAAATTTGGCTACAATTTCTTTTTCAAATTGCAGCCCAAAAATGGTAAATTAATCATTGTAAATTAAGACATAAATGTTTGATTTAAAATATGTTGTAGAATTAAAGATGTATATTGCTTACATCATTAAACAAAGGTTAGATAAATGCTATTTTTGACTCAGTTAATGAACATCTTTAGCATTAACAGAGCTACGTGTCTGTTCAGCTTGAAGATGGCCCATTAACTGACAAACATTTGCTTTTTTCTAATTTTACCCACTGTTAAAAGTGTATTTCTTACTTCATTAAATACAGACAAATTAGCCACAGTAGTTTCCTTGTCTTAATTATTTGGAATACAAGATTTTAATTTTAAAAATTTCCAGATTTTTAAAAGATTTTCAATGTTTAATTTAAAATATATTCTAGAATGTATAACACTATTTTTTGTTTTAATTTTGCAGTTTGTTTTATTTTGGAACTTTATACACTGAAGATAGTAAAAAATTACAAATTATGATAATTTAAATTTCATTCTAGAAAAAGTTGTTTTTTTTATAGTTTCAGTGTCTCTAGGTATCAAAATCAAGCATTTTAAATTAACTTAATACAAAACTGGAGTGATATTTGTAAAATCTAAAACTTGTTATTCACTTATATAGTTATAATATTTAAAGTTTAATAATTCATTTTAAGTCAACATTAAATTATTTATTTAATAGTATATAATTAAGATTTATTATTTATATTATTTGCTTAACCAGTTTGATTTAAAATATTGCAATCCAAAAATTAAATTTACTTTATTTAGTACTATCTATACCCACTAAAATTTAAAATCAACTAAAAATCTATAATCACACTCCTATTTCTACTGAAAGGGAAATGAAAATTTTATTTTTAAATAAAAGTTTTTGTTTATTGATATTGATAAAATATGAAAACAAAAAAATTAAATAAATATTCTAATTTTATTATTTGCATTTATATTTTCAAGCAAAATTTTTGTATAATGTAACAATGATACTGATAAAGCATTTAAGAATTAAATTATCATTTATTGGCTATTTGTTTCTTTGGAATTAAGTATAAAATATTTTCATTTGTTTTGAGATGTGTTGTTAGTAAACATATATTATTAATTAATAACTAGCAGATAACCTGTGAATCTGTGGAATAAAGCATTAAATAGAAAATGTTAATTTAGAATTAAAAATTGGAACTTAATGTCTATCAAAAAGTTACTTCTAGTCTAAACTACCTGTACCTGTAGTCTAAACTATGCTCCTCACACAAAATATGAAAATGGATTACAAAATTTCTTTGTATACCACATTTAAGGTGATAAATCCAATAGAACTTAAGACCTGGCCAAGTCCTCCTGGGTAACAATTCAGTGGACCTGATACTAAATTGTTGTGAAAAGTTTTTTATTCATATTCTATACAAAATGATAGAGAAATTTCATAACTTTGAACCCAATATCTCTGGAAGAGATCATTTGATCCAAAAATAAAAAGTTTATTGCACATTGGTGGATTCACCCTTATATATTGATACTTAATTTGTTCAGATCCACTGAGAACTCTAGATGAAATTTTGTTAACAAAAATCTCCTTAGCACAATTATATACATATATAGCTTAAACAGCTTATTAAAATATGAAATTTATATATATAAATTTTTTTCATTCATATTTTAAAGGATATTTTTAAAATGATTTTATTGTTATATAAAATAAGACTCCATATTTATTATCTGTAATAGTATGTTTGAAACTATAAAATTTTTGTTTTTTTAAAGTGAGTTACAGTTTTGAAGAAAAGTGTAATTTCATTTTGAAATTTTAAATAGTTAATTAAGAAAGATTTTCGTACAGGTTGATAAAGACAATAATTTCAATGCAGTAAATTAATTCACATATTTCATTAATTTATTGTGCAATAGAAAATTACAGTACATTAGAAAAGTCTGGTATATACAAAGTTTGTAATATAATGAAAAATAATTTTTGTTTAATTTTTAGCTAATGCAGCCCACTAACTAAAGATTTATTGAACCAATAAAATTATTATGCAAATATATTGTAGATTTAAAATTAAAATGATTTTTATAATATTTTATGAAGATGTTTATGTATTTAACATTTTATATTTTTTTAAAATAAATATTTAACTCAAATTATTTAAAGTTTCTAAAATCTGTAATTAATTTTACCTGATAATGCTATTGAAGGTGTACTTATTGTAAATAAGATGAGTTTAACATCTAATCCTTATTATAATCAATGTTGTCATAATTAAATCACAAAAATAACAAATTAATATTTCATAACCTAAATGCAATAAAAAGCTTTTGATTTGATTAACTATGACATTATTTATCAAAATGAAAATAATTAAAAGTTTCTCTAACAAAAAAATAGAATGCTTAATGGAGCATTCTATTGTTTGTTTAGTAATAAAATACTCTGTATGTATATACATAATCTGAACATTGTTAATTTTTCTGCTAAATGTCATCTAAAACAAAAAATTTCTGGATTAGTTTTGTAATCCTTCTTTTACTTGCTTTTATTGTATATACGAATTTACCAATACAAAATGACCCCACATTAGCAGTGTACTTTAGCTAATTCCCATTAGTGGGGATTAGCTAGAGTACACTGCATCAGAATTTTTAAATTTTAGTTTCTCTACCCAATTTAATTACATTTTATTTATCATTTTAATTATGAGAATTTTATATAGAAAGAATATGAAGATCTTATTGTAAAAATGTTTTTATTTAATTTTTATTTTTCCATTGCATATTGTTAATCATCGTAAGAATATGAAAAAGATTTTCAGTTTTTGATGTTAATAAGTTGATGTTATTATGAAGCACACAAATTTTCAATACATAAAAAATGTCTTCAGGTAGCATATGAAAAGAATAAAAATTGATTTATTAGATATTTTAGAATATACAGTGGGTGATCGGTTAACGAACATAATCCGTTCCAAGATTTTGTTCGCTATCCAAATTGTTCGTTAACCGATTATCGATTTACCATAGGTTTCTATGGGAATTTGATTAATTCGTTCTGGAGACCTCAAAAAATAAAAAATATATACTTTCTTACTACGTTTATTCATATGTAATAATAAAAATACCTATATACACGGTCTTGCATATTTATTTGTCATGTTTTTTTCTGTTTGTGGGAGTTAAAGAATCTGTCTAATGTCGATTGCTTTTCTTTCTTCTTCATGATTTTTCAGAAGTAATTAATCACACTGTAGTTGTAGAGATCCCTAAGCCTATTAACCTCAACCTGGTTTGGATGCCATTTTAAGACCACTGTTCTGACATCCTCCCACTTCTTCAAAAGATCTTTAATAGCAGATATCGGCATCAATCCTTTTTTTCAGAAGAAAACGTAAAAGGATTGTTTCTATAAGAAATATAAAAGGCTGGAATTACAAGGGAGAGTTTCAAAGTTCGGGGGAATACTATCCGATCAGTATATACTGGGTTGAATGTCGATGTTGACATATCCTGCGCTCTGAAAAGTTTCAAATTGTTGCCTGAAGACAAAAGACCAATCGGTATTCGTTATTTTACGTCGCTTCTTCTTGTGTTTGTTCAGTGAAGTGTTCGTTGTCCGATCATAAAAATCTTTCACGAAAATGTTCGTTATCTGATTTGTTCATTAACCAATCACCCCCTGTATTTTAAATGAATTGTATTTATTTTGCATGTGAAAACATGTGTTTCTTGGGAAAACAATGTTTGTGTTTTCTAATAAAACTCTTAATTAACATAAAAAAACCAAAACATTTTTTCATATTCTTAAAGTTATTGTGGTATATGTTATTTTACTACAGTTAATCATATTTAGTGCATAAACTTAAATTTCAAGTGATTAATTCAATTTGCTAAGATACTTTATGAGGGATGGTTACTTTATCTTTTAGTTTGAAAAATTCTTGTAGAAAGTAAAGTAAAGTATTAACAAAATTTATCGGTCTCGATTTCAGCATATCATTCAGTCTTGAATTTCTCTGTTGCAGTTAAACTCATCTTAATGAATTCACACATATGAGTGCAATTCACTGTTTACAAGTCTGAAAACTATCCATTAAAGAAACTCCATTTGTGAAAGGAAGTACAGGTATACCTTGTACAACATTTTCT